TGGACCCCTGTGATAAGTTCACAACTCATCAGCTATCTGCAATGAGCTTACAATCCACCGGACAACTACGATGAATATATAACTCATTGCACGATTAAGACAAACTCATACTTAAGATGAATCGCGATGAACTATGGTTAAAGAGAACTCGCGATGGGCCTTAGACATGCGCAGTTCTGCGATAAACCTTGAATATGTGAAGTTCTGCAATGAACTTTGGATGCACAAAGTTTTACGATGAACTCGAGATAATTATTGAACTAAGGGATCACTTTGAACTAGAAATAAATATCGGCTACATGTACAACTTTAAGTTACGTGCGTGGTAAATGATAACGTCACCAACACCAAATTGGTTGAATGGATCACGAAAGGAAGTAATATATGCAGATTATGAGAATCCTCAGACAAAAGGAAAGTTCGTCTTTGAAAGATCTTATAGGACACGTGGCGAAACCCTAACAATGTTCCTTAATAACTGATAATGAATCTAATATTCCCTTTAATAATGGGAATCAAACGCTTTTGACTCCTTCCTTTTTGAACCTCGGGATCCCTCCTTATAAATGAGAGTCCATCCCATAATGAAATCACCAATCATTCAATCCTACTGCCTTATTACTTACATTTTCCATAATCTCCAAACCTACCTCTTGCACCCAATCTTCCTTCGTCTTTCAAGGAGACCCCCGAACGTAGCCTAACCACTATATTTACAATAAGTGTGGCTTAAAGATGTTTAATCCATATGAAATTATAAATAAATTATTTTTTTCCGTTCTTGGTAAATTAATCCCTATAACTAAATTCACTTCTAAAATATGCATTGTAAGGTGATATTAGGGACTAATAACAAAGTGATAATAAGATTTGGATCCATAAATATTAGGTTCACAATGTAGTTTGTAGATAAGGGTGTCAATGGACCAGTTTTGGATTGGACCCCGTCTAATCCAAAATCAATTTAGACGGATTGAGCAGACTAACAAGACATATTGGATTGGACCAATTTAGTCCAAAATATTTATTAAATTGCACGCTCTCTGCTACAAAACAAATGACCACTCTTTGGAGCCTACCCCTCCAAGCTTCACAACAAGAGCCAAATTTGCCTAACCCAGTTATTTACCTCACCAATAGTAGAATCCAAGCTTTATATGATCCTTCAAGCATAATTTTCTGCATTTCTTTTGCAATTTCTTGTATTTTGAAAATTCTATAATTTTCTACATTTTCTGCAATCTTTTGTATGTTTTTGCATGTTTTTACAATTTTTATGCAATGTTTTATATTTTCTACAATGATTTTTTAATTTTTTTGTGTTTTTTATTTGTATTTTTGTAATTTTTATATCATACAATTTTTTTTTTGTATTTTTAGATGACCCAGTCCGAATAGATGCCACATGGCAGTCGTGAAGGCAAGCAATTCTCTAAAACTATTTTCATACTAGTGAATAACCCTGTACTAAGTACGGGGAATCATTAGTGTTAAGTTTACATTATGGAATCAATAATGTTAAATTTATATCTATTAATATTTTAAATAATTATTAAAATATCAAGAAATATTTATTTCAAAAATATCTTTTCAATAATTATTAGAATATGGAGAGTTTTCTTTTGTTATAATACATAGATGATTAATGATTAACGATAGAATGTAGGTAGAAGTGGTTGTGGATAACCACTTTTGCATTTTCTGTATTTTTTACGAATGGGTTGAAAATGGTGGTAGTGGGTTGTGGCTTCAACAACAACTTCTTAGAAAATGCCATGTGTCTAGATTTCAAAAAAATGAGAAGGCATGTGTTTGAATGGTGGGGGGTTGTAGCCTGGTATTGGGTTGTAGGCTTTAGCAGGAATTTCTCAGAAATTGCCACGTGTCTATCTTTCTAGAAAATGAAAAGGACACTTGTCTGAATGGTGGTAGTGGGCTATGGGCATTAACAACAATTTCTCAAAAAATGCTATGTATCTAAATTTGAAAAAGCTACGTGTCTGAGTGGTGGGGGTTGTAGCCTAAAAACCTTCATTTAATTTATATGTATACTAGCGGAGGGGGCCCTGCATTGCAGGTGCTCCCCCATAAACTATCAGGCTAGAGGCTTGAGCTCGAGCTCGATTTCGGTTTGAGGCAAAAGCTTGGAAGTTTGAGCTCAGCTACCTTTGATTGCAGGTCTCTCAACAACCGAGGTTTCAAGTTGAGGTCTCCCTTAATTGCAGAGGTGTCAAACCGACGTGTCCCTCAGTTGTTGAAGTGTCGAGATAAAGTTTCCCTAATATGAGAGGTATCGAGTTAAGGTCTCCCTTATTTGATAAGGTGCCGAGATGAGGTCTCCCTTAGTTGTCAAGATGTTGAGCCAAGATCTAATTTAGTGACCGAGGTGTCGAGTCGAGGTCTTCCTCAATGGTCAAGGTGTCATCTAGCTCGAGCTCGATTCGAATTAGAGACTTGAGCTTGAGCTCAGAAGTTCAAGCTCGACTCGGCTCAAACTCGACTACCTTTTATTGCAAGTCCCTTAGCAACTGAGATACCGAGTTGAGGTCTCCTTCAATTAGAGAGAGAGTGGCATTCCTGTAATTTATGAGGAGAGAGAGTGATGGTAGGAGAGAGAGATGACATTCTTTTAATTTACAAGAAAGAGAGAGAGAGTAGCATTTTTGTAATTTGAAAGAAAAAAAGCAAGAGAGAGAGAGTTGGGTAGGAGAGAGTGGCATTCTTGTAATTTGAAAGAAAAAGCAAAAGTGAGAGAGTTGGTAAAGAGTGGTATTCTTGTAATTTCTAAGAAAAAAGGCAAAAAATACTGTTAGATTCCATTTCCCTCATCTTTAGTCCTTGTTACGTACACATTTCAGGTTAATATATTTACTAAGGGAGGGGGCCCTACATTGTAGGGCTTGTTCATAAACTACCAGGCTCGAGCTCGATTCGAATTAAAGACTTGAGCTTGAGCTCGAGCTTGGTTCGAGTCAAAAGCTTGAAAGTTCAAGCTCGACTACCTTTGATTACAGGTCTCTCAAGCAGTCGTGGTCTCCATCAATTGTTGAGGTGCCAAACCGAGGTTTCCCTCAGCTGGTGAAGTATTGGGCTGAGGTTTCCCTAGAAGGCGAGGTGTTGAGCTAAGGTCTCCCTTAGTTGACAAGGTGCTAAGCTGAGGTCTCCTTCAGTTGTCGAGGTACTGAGCCAAGATCTCTCCCCCAATGATTGAGGTGGCGAGCCGAGGTCTCCCTCATTGGTTGAAGTGTTGTCTAGCTCAAGCTTGATTCGAATTAGAGACTTGAGCCTGAGCTCAAAAGTTTGAGTTTGGCTCGGCTCAAACTTGACTACCTTTGATTACAGTTCCCTAGTAGTCGAGATGTTGAGCTGACATCTCCCTCAATTGGAGAGAAAGTGTGGCATTCTTGTAATTTGAAAGAAAAAAAAGGCAAGAGAGAGAGTGTGTCATTCTTGTAATTTGAAAGAAAAAAAAGCAAGAGAGAGAGAGAGAAAGTTGGTAGAGAGTGACATTCTTGTAATTTATAAGAAAAAAAAGGTAAAAGATAATGTTAGATTCCATTTTCCTCATCCTCATGCCTTTTTACGTACACATTCAGCTTAATATATTTACTAGCGGAGGGGGCCTTGCGTTGTAGGGGCTTGCTCATAAACAACAGGCTAAACTCGATTTGAATTAGAGATTTGAGCTCGAGCCCGAGCTTGGTTTGAGCCAAAAGATTGAAAGTTCGAGCTCGGCTACCTTTGATTGAAGGTCTCTCAAGCAGTTGAGGTGCCGAGTCGAGGTCTCCCTCAATTGCCGATGTGGCAAATCAAGGTCTCCCTTAGCTGTTGAAGTGTAGAGTTGAGGTTTCCCTAGCAGGTGAGGTGTTGAGTTAAGGTCTCCCTTAGTTGACAAGGTGCCAAGCTGAGGTCTCCCTCAATGACCAAGGTGCCATGCTGAGGTCTCCCTCAATGGTTGAGGTGTCATCTAGCTTGAGCTTGATTCGAATTAGAGACTTGAGCTTTAACTCAGAAGTTCGAGCACACTTCAGCTCGAACTCGACTACCTTTGATTACAGGTCCCCTAGCAACCGAAAATGCCAAACTGAGGTCCCCCTCAATTGGATAGAGAGTGGCATTCTTATAATTTACAATGAGAGAGATGAAATTCTTGTAATTTGTAAGAAAGAGAGAGAGAATTGGTAGAGAGTGGCATTCTTATAATTTTTATGAAAAAGGCAAAAAATACTATTAGATTTCATTTCCCTCATCCTCAGACCTTTTTAAGTACACATTTTAATTTAATTGATTTACTAGCGAAGGGGGTCCTGCGTTGCAGGGGCTTTTGCTCATAAACTATTAGGCTCGAGCTCGATTTGAATTAGAGACTTGAGCTTGAGCTCGAGCTTGGCTCGAGTCAAAAGCTAGGAATTTTGAGCTCGATTATTTTTTATTGTAAATTTCTCAAGCAATCAAGGTGTCGAGCTGAGGTTTCTCTCAATGGTCGAGGTGTCGTCTAGCTCGAGCTTGATTCGAATTAGAGACTTAAGCTTGAGCTTAGAAGTTCAAGCTTAGCTCGACTCGAACTTGACTACCTTTTGATTGTATGTCACCTAATAGTTGAGATGCTAAGCTAAGGTTTCCCTCGGTTGGGTTGGAGAGAGAGTGGCATTCTTGTAATTTATAAAGAAACAGAGATGAAAGGAGAAAGAGAGATGACATTCTTGTAATTTATAAGAAAGAGAGAGAGAGTTGGTAGGAAAGAATGACATTGTTGTAATTTAAAAGAAAAAAAAGCAAAATAGAGAGAATTAGTGGAGAGTGGCATTCTTATAATTTTTAAAAAATTGAATTTTCCTCGTACTCAAGCCTTTTTACGTACAGATATAATATAGATATTGAAATAGATAGATATAGATATATTAGATATGCGGGTTGACCCGACCCATATACACCATGTGGCAGCTATGAGAAGAAGCAATACTTCAAAATTGCTTTCGGGTATGTGGGTAGAGAAACAGAACGGCGTGCAAAACCGACTCCAACGCTGCTAGTGCCCGCTGCAAGTTGCCACCACTGCTTCTCTACTGTCTATTCTTCTTCTTTGTGGATCTCTGTTCTTCAAAACTACTAATTTCCGAAACATTTTTTCGTATCATACTACTATACCAGAACAAAAGACAACCGGAAGTGGCAGGGATGAAGGACGCGGAACACCTCGATGACATGAACAACTTGGCTGAAACTAAGTCAGACACGGAAAACCCTAGTTCTTCCGATTCCGAGTCGTCCGACGATGACGCCGAAGATCTCCAACTGGAAACCCTAGAGAAGGAACTCGCGGAGAACCCTTCGAGTTACGACACCCACGTTCAAGTAAGCGTTCTCTTGCTTGACTTCTTGCTTCATTGCAGCGAATTTTAAATGAAGGTTTCATTCATTAATTTGTTTGCATTTCGCAGTACATAAGGACTCTGAGGAAACTCGGCCTCATTGAGAACCTACGTGAAGCGAGGGAGTCGATGAATATTTTGTTCCCTTTGAGCCCTGCAATGTGGCGGGAATGGGCGAAGGACGAAGCTTCGCTAAACACCGGGTATGCTTAGTTAGTCTGTTTAAAGTGTTCTTAATCCGTGGGTGATATCAGCCTCTTCTTGGAGACGAGAAGAGTGTTTTGCTTTGCCTTGAGCTCGCAGAGGTAAGGATAAGAAAACAGAGTATTTGATAAGGGGTAAAAACTCGATGCCTTTTATTTATGATATAATGGCTATTTATAATCACCAGGACAGGGAATAACGGTCAGTGATTGCAAACCATTTCAGTGATGAGAGAATATTATCCGGTAACGGTTCTGTGATCGGTTATAACGTCTTGCATCAGGCACGAGCGGAGGCAGGGCTATCATTCCTACCCTGCCACGTCCTTCCTAGGAGAGTAGTCGAGCTGTATCATTCTTGCCCCCATTGGGATTAGTCTTATCCTCAAGATTAGCTCCAGGGAAACGCTTGTTGAGAGAGTCCAGACGTTCCCATGTCGCATCAGAATCTGTAGTTCCTTCCCATTTGATGAGGAGCTCAGTGATTGCTCTGTTCCCACTTTGAACTATAAGCCTGTCCAGAACTGCTATACAATGTGGCTGAAGAACTCCTCGCATGGTAGCCCAATTTAGCCTTAAGACATGAGACATGGAACACAGGTTTCTAAGGTCCGGTTTAAGACCTCAGTTTGCCCATCTGACCGGGGGTGATAAGGTGAACTCATATTGAGATGAGTCCCTTGAAGCTTGAACAATTCCTTCCAGAACGCTCCAGTGAAAGTTGGGTCCCAATTACTCACCATATATCTCGACATCCCATGTAATTTAAACACTCCTTCCATGAATACTCGAGCAACCTCCTGTGTTGTATAAGGATGACTGAGGGAAAGAAAATGACCATATTTGGTCAGCTAATTCACCACTACTAATATGACATTCTTCTTATTTGAGCTTGGCAATCAGTCCACAAAGTCAAGTGAATGTCAACCCATGCTTGCTTCAGAATGGATAATGGCTGGAGTTACCAAGGAGTAGGAAGATTCTCAGTTTTGTGCCTTTGACAAACATCACACTCATGGACCCATCCTTTGACTTCCTTTCTATAGCCCTTCCAATAACAAATTTGTCTCAATCTCTGAATGGTGTTCTATAACCAGAATGGCCCTCGATGGGGCTGGAGTGAGCTTCATCAAAAAGTTTCCTTCGAAATGATGAAGTGGGACTCAGTACCAGCTTACTGTCCTTCCATAACAGACCATTGCATTGTCTGTAGTTTGGCTTATGCCTTCTTCCTTCTGCAATCTTTGTTATAATGTTATGTAAATGAGCATCTGTAGCTACTTCAGGTTTCAATTCTGTTGTCCAATTTGGCATTAGAACTGATATTCCCATTACCTCAGACTCATGCCTTCTAGAGAGTGCATTGGCGGCATTATTCTCTTTCTCTTTACGATAGAACACTTCATAATCATATCCCAACAGCTTGCTTAGAAGCTTTTGCGGAGTGGGAGAAGTGATCCTTTGCTTCATAATATAACCAATGCTTCTCTGATTTGTTAAAATTCTGAATTTATTGCTCAAGAGGTAAGGGTTCCAATGTTAAACTGCTGAGACGACTGCAAGTAATTCACGATCATAAGTGGACATGTTCAATGCTTGACCTTGTAATGCCTTATCGAAAAATGCAACGGGCTGCCCTTCTTGGGATAAGTCTGCACCTAGGCCATGGCCACTAGCATCACTCTCCACAGTAAAAGGTTTGCTGAAATCAGGTATCGCCAATACAGGAGCAGTAGTCATGGCAGCCTTCAACTCCTTAAAAGTAGTTTCTGCCTCCTTCCACCAAGCCCAGGCTCCCTTTTTTAGTAACTGGGTGAGAGGTCTGGCTATACTCCCATACCACTTAACAAACCTTCGGTAATACCTAGTCAACCCCAAGAATCCCCTTAATCCCTTCACTATGGTAGGTCTTGGCCAGGATAGCATTCCCTCTACTTTAGTTGGGTCCATTTCCACTCCTTGATTGGATATGATATGTCCTAGGTATTCAATTATGTTTCTCATAAAATTGCGCTTATTTCTTTTGGTGCGAAGTTGATGGGCACGAAGAATGCTCAAGACTTGCTTCAGATGGAGGAGGTGCTCTTTTTGTGATAGGTTATAGACCAAGATGTCATCAGAGAACACTAGAACAAATTGCCCGAGTTGTTCCTTAAAGATTTGGTTCATGAGCGCTTGGAAGGTTACCGGGGCATTGGTGAGCCCAAATGGCATTACCAAGAACTCATAGTGTTCTTCATGAGTCATAAAGACTGTTAGCAATGTCTTCCTCCTTCACCTAGATTTGATGGACTCAGCTTGCAGATCCAATTTCGAAAAGAACTTCGCTCCATGGAGTTCGTCAATCAGCTCATCAATGATTGGCATGGGGAAACGATCCTTGATCGTCTGCTGGTTTAACGCTTTGTAATCCACACAGAGCCTCCACCCACCATCTTTCTTTTGCACCAACAATATTGGCAACGAGAAGGGACTCTGGTTGGGTCAAATAATCTCTTCTTGTAGCATCCCTTCAATCCCTTCTGTGTATAAGGGTAATAGTATGGTCTAATATTTGCAACATGGCCTTCTTGGGTTAAAGGTATCACATGGTCACAGGAATGTGGAGGTGGCAAGCCTGTAGGTTCCTCAAAAATATTTGCAAACTCTTTAAGTAAAATCCTAGTTTCTCTATCAACTTCCAGATTATCATATCCCAATTCTACATTCATAAATTGTAGTAGGTATACCTGGGTAGCTTTGTTCAGTGCCTCAGGTGCAGTCTCTGCAGGTTATCAATTTGGGCTTGGGCTTCCGAACTCCTTTTAGTATGTGTGCTTCTTGGTCATTCCAAAACTGTAGAAACAGAGCTTCAAAATCCCACAGTATAGGTGCGAGAGTCCTAAGCCATTGAGCGCTGAGCACTGCATCATAATCAGGGAGTTGTAGCATATGGAAGTCTACCTCAATGGTGATTCCCTGGGTCTGAATACCTACCCTGGAGCACCTACCATAGTCACGAAGTCGTTCACCGCTCACCACCTGTATAATGAAGCTAGGATGGGAATCCACCTATAACCCAACCTTCACCATTTTGGGGCAACGCCGGAGATATCCCTACACGCCATATCCGGAGCCAATTCACCCAGAACCGTGAGGATTCAAGGACACATTCAGCATTATCCACTTACCATCCTCTTGGACAGCGGGTCTTCACATAACTTCTTAGACTCCTCTTTTGTAGTTGGCCCTTGGTGATCTTTCTTCATTGTCGTTGTAATCCAGAAGAGTTTCTGCTTTTGACATTGATGTTGGGGTGTATACTTTTCATCACAATTAAAGCAGAGTCTCCACTCTCTTCTTTCCTGTGCCTCTACGGGAGTTAGTCTTTTAATTTCAGGTAATTTCTGAGTCTGGTTAGAAGTGTTACCTGCCAAGGATGGGGGCTTTGCTTTTGGAACCTCTTGCTTCGTCAACCTCTGTTTTTGCATCCATTCTTATTCTTTTAATAGCGCTGATTGAAATGCTCGATGGATAGAGGTTGGTTCGAGCATCTCGACTCTTGTGCAGATTTCAGGCTCAAGTCCGGAGACGAAATAGCTAAGGAAGGGGGAGAGGAGGGGCTGGAAGACAGGGGAGGAGAGGGGAAGATGAGGATCCTTAGATGGAACATGAGGGAATTGAAGGAAGGAAGAAGAAGGGATATTGTAAGAATTTTTTATGTATCAAACCATAGGGGGTATTACTTCAAGAAGCAAAACTGGAATGTTGAATACTTTTTAGCTGGGGTGAGCAATTTGATTGCAGCCTGGGTTCTCAGTCTTCCAGAGTTTGACCAAGTGAACAAGCCGGATCTGATAGAGAATTTCTGGAGTACCATAGAGTTGAATACCTGTAATTTTAAGTCATTTACAATGTAATTTGTTAAGTAGTCGGTTTGTGATCTAGACAACCATTTTTCTGAGATGTACTGCTTTCTTTTTCAATTTTAATAAAATTTGCTTTTGATCCTTCAAAAAAATTAATGATATGATGGCTATTTATAATCACTAGGACAGGGAATAACGGTCAATGATTGCAAATCATTACAATGATGAGAGAATATTCTCCAGTGATGGTCATGTGATCGATTATAACGTCTTGCTTCAGGCACGAGCAGAGGCAGGGGTATCGTAATGACCTGTCATGTCCTTCCTAGGAGAGTTGATCTGTATCAAAGCGTACTTATATTTGTTGTTAGATTTCTAGGTCGAGGTGATTTTTCAAAGCAGTCATGTTACTTCTGGCGGCTCAATCTTTATAACAGCACCTTTTTGTGGAATTAAAAGGTTTTCGTCGCATGGTATCTGTTTGAAGGTTTATCTTTCCTGATGTTCCCTTGTTTTTTTTTTGATCTGATCAATAACTGATATTCCCTTGTTTTAAGTTGAAATTGTATTGTATACTAAAGAACGGTTGACAAGAAATGAAACTAATTGTGTAGGGAGGGAGGGAGGGAGATCAACCTTTCTCTGATATCATGTGCTGAGATAATCTGACCTGAAAACAGAAGTAAAAAGTAAGAGAATGAAGAAAAAAATAATTTATAAAGAGGAGAAGAGGGGGTGTTCCCTATGTTGCCTCTGATATGTAGCTTGCTGACCTCTTCACCAAAGTAGTTACAAAGAAAAGTTAGAGATAGACTTATGCAAGTTGGGAATGACCAATATCCATTCCCAACTTGAGGGGGAGTGTGGAGAAATAGTGTAGTAAATTAGTTATGGGTGTTTTAAAAGTACAAGGCGCAAAAAAGGCGCAGGGGAGAATTGGAAACCAAACTCTTCTATCTGGTTTAGAAGGCTCCAAACAAACTCTATCAAGAAGATGCAAAAGCTCTGTTACAGAGGCGAATTTCTCATCCCTCAATGCCCTATGAAACATCAATAGATTAGATAGAAAGAGAACCCTTGCTGTTAAGGTAAATAGGAAAGAGACAGATCAATCATAAGTCATAAAAAGAAATAGGTGAGAGAAAAGTCAAG